GCTCCTGCTGGGGGACAGGTCCTCAAATGACACTGGATGACCCAGCTCTTCCCCCTCTTGCTTACCATTTTAGGGCAGAATGTACAGAGGATGCCACATTCTGAGATAAGGTGGAACTGTCCTGAACAGCTCAGGCTTTGTGCTCATCTCCCCTACATCAGGATGTCCTGCAATGCTTTAGTCCAGGGGACCCAGTGGCATCTGGGGTATAGAACCCACAGTGGAGCACTTTTAAAGTCCCTCAGCTGAGGTGTGAAGTTGGGGCACATGCACTCCAGGGCCCTGGGTAGCTTATCTGAATGCTGGTGAACTGGCTTGCCATAGATCCCAGGCTTGGGTTGATGTTTGCGGCCTCTCTGTGAATAACAAAGTTGTTTTGCCTGACATGTTGTGCAGATGTTGTTTTACCAGACTAGACGTTAAGAATGCCGGGGGTGGAGGTATGACTCCTGCACCAGCTTGATCAGCTCTGAGCTCCTGCCATAGTCAAGAATGCTTGCAGAACTCTGGCTGCTGAGTTTGTGCAAAGCTTTCTGCCAGCCTTAGGAACCTGAGCAGAAATTGGTGAGGTGTTTAAGAGTGCTCCCCTCCCAGGGACTGACAGTAGTTCACAGTATTTCTGCTTAGTAGCATCCTGACTAGACGTAACCACATGATTCCACTGGCCCAAAAGAGGCATCCTGTGACCTCAAGGGGAAGCTGCCCTTGGCACAGACATAAAAGACAGACAGAAGGAGACAGGCTCCTTGAGTCATTGTTGAGCTGCGGTATCAGCAATTCTCCAAACTCTGAGCTACTTCTGGGCTTTTTCAATTGTTAACCCACCAATTCCCTTTACAGTATAAGCTAATCCGAGCTGAAATTTGTAATTCTTGCAACCAACAGCACCCTAACTCATGCATAATTTAGTGTCAGGAAGTGGCATGTTGCTAGTGACAGACTCTGTAATCTCAAAATGGCTGAAAGGAGTTGGGGAAGAGGGCATTAAAGAGGACTCCGGCATCTTGTGGTGCAAAACTGGGGAGCTTTGCTATATGCCATGAATTATTGTGGCAGGCTGAATAATGACCCCCTTGAAGATATAGCATGTCTTAATCCCGGGACCTGCAAATGTTACCTTAAATGACCAAAGGGAGTTTGCAGCTGTGGTTAAGCTAAGGACCCTGTGATAGGGGAGACCATCCTGCATTGGATTATCCAGTGGGCCTGGTGTGAGGTCAGGGATCTTCTTAAGAGGGATCCAGGAGGAGTTGGAAGGAGAGAAGATGGTGTCATGATGGCAGTAGAGATGGGTGATGTGCCACCCAGACAGAGGAGGGGGCATAGGCCAAGACATGCAAGTGGCCTCTGGAAGCTGAAAAAGTAAGAAACTGACTCTCCCCTAGAAGCTCCAGGAGGGATCAGCCTTGCTGACACTTGGACTTTAGCCCCGTGAAGTGGATTTTGGACTTCTGATCCCCAGATCTGCAGGAGAGTAAATGTGTATTGTTTTCAGCCACCAAGTCTGTAGCATTCTGCTCCCAGCAGCCTTAGGAAACGAATACAGATAGAACTGTCAGCTTTTCACTTTGGGGCACAGGCTCAGTGCCTATGGAGAGTGCAGCACCAGGGAGAACCCACCTCGTGGGAGGGTGGTGGCTCACTCAGTAAGGTCCTGTGAGAGATATTCTAAGCCCGAAGCAGACCATCTGAAAGCAGAGAAGGCAGAAAACACTTCCTGAGGAACCCACACTGCATCGCAAATCCAGCCATCCTGAAATACTATGGTAATTTTTTTGAGACAGGGTCTTACTCTGTTGTCTAGGCCAGAGTGCAGTGCTATGATCCTAGCTCACTGCCGCGTTGAGCTTCCGAGCTCAAGTGATCCTCCTGCCTTAGTCTCCCAAGTAGCTAGGACTAAGAGTGCTCACTACTTCTGGCTAATTAAAAAAAAAAAAAAGTTTTGTAGAGACGGGGTCTCCCTGTGTTGCCCAGGCCAGTGTTGATCTCCGGGTCTCAAGCGATCCTCTCACCTCAGCCTCCCAAAGGGCTGGGATTATAGGTGTGAGCCACTGTGCCTCACCTCAGCCTCCCAAAGGGCTGGGATTATAGTTGTAAGCCACTGTGCCTCACCTCAGCCTCCCAGAGGGCTGGGATTATAGGTGTGAGCCACTGTGCCTCACCTCAGCCTCCCAGAGGGCTGGGATTATAGGTGTGAGCCACTGTGCCTGGCCTGCTGCACTTGTCTTTCCTCACAACAGTTCAATGTGGCTCTGTGCATAGCAGTTTGAGCTCAATAATTATATTTTAATGTATTCTGAAACATTTTATACACGTAAAAACTCATAAAGAATATAACAAACACCTGAATATAGCCCATCTGCCTTAAGAAACAAAGCACAATAGCACAACTGATCCTCTATGAATATGAATTCCTTACTGATCACAGTCCCCACTAATATCTATAGGCAACCACTCTCCTGAATTTATCTTTTACCATTCTTTTTTTTTTTTTTTGAGATAAGGTTTTGCACTATTGCCCAAGCTGGAGTGCAGTGGCATGATCACGTGATCACAGCTCATGGAAGCCTCAAACTCCTGGGCTCAAGGGATCCTCCTGCCTCAGCCTCCTAAAGTGCGGCGGTTACAGGCCTGAGCCAGCACACCCGGCCTCATTCTCATCCTTGAGAAGAAAATAGTTCTAAATGGCATCATACCGTGTGGACTCATAGGCTACTTTTTTTCATTCAACACTGTGGAGCCGGGTGCAGCAGTGCTTCCTTCTGTACTCAGCCATTCAGGACGATCACTTGAGCCCAGGATTTTACAGCCAGCCTGAGCAACATAATAAGCCCCATCTCAAAAACAAAACAAAACAAAAAAACCCACCCAGTTTGTGAAATTCATTTATGTTGATGTATACGACTAATTTATTCATTTTTACTAACTTATGGTATTCGACTGCGTAACTGTGTAATTTATCAATTCTGCCAGTCATGACATTTTGGTTGCTTCTCCCCCAGACCCCAACTACCACCAGAAGCAACGTTGCATTGAACCTTCTTGTCTTTGCACGTACACACAAGGTACTCTAGAGCACATACCAAGAGCAGAATTGCTAAGTTACAGAGTATCTTTGCCAGAAATTGCTAAGTGGCCATCCAAAGTTAGTGAACGAATGTACACCCCCACTGGCAGTGCGAGAGTTCTGCTCTGCTCACAAATCCACATCCTTACCAATTTTGGTCAAGGCAGATTTTTAAGTTTTTGCCAATCTGTTAAGGGTAACATGGTACATCCTTAGTTTTAACTTGCATTGCTGCTCAATGCTTGTAACAAGGAATAAAAACGGTTCCACTCATTACCTGAGATTTGAGAATCTGTCCCAATTCCTAGTTCCATATCTAGACTCCAGTATCTGTATTAATTTGGCTTTCAAAACTTGCCTTCTACTCAGACTCTTTCCATCTTCACACTTCTGTCATGACCCTAGAAATCCTTTGCTTAACTGGTTTCGAAGCCTTCAAGTCAATCTCAGCCTCACTCCTTTGCCTGAAAACAGTAGGTGGCCAAGTATACAGTAAGCGGATCTCAGGTGTAACCAGTCAATAAGTGCTGCCAACTTTTCCTGTCAATTGTTTTGCAGCTTTTCCTTCCTTTCCCCTTTCATCATGTTAATCCTGCTGTCACCTCGCTCACTGATCCTTGCAATAAGCCAGACTGACCTGAAAAGAATCGCCATTGTCCTTAGCGTTGTCTGTAGAGGACGGCACTGCCTGAGGCTGTCGGGGCTGTATGTCAGGAGGAGACTCCTGGTGCCTTCTGAGCTCTACTAGGACAGGATCCCAGGAGAGCAGGACGCCTTGCGCATAGGAAGTACTAAGTCAAGGTTACTTACCAGTAAATGAAGAGGCATGGGAAACTCATCATCACAAAATACGTCTTATCGAATTTTGGTTTTAAAAGAGAACTGGCAGTAACTCCAAATACACTAAAGCTCCAGTCTGACAGTCCCTGAGCCTTCGATATTTGTTCTAAGACGCACAGAAATGTAATGCAAATCAGATACGATTTTTTACTTGTTTTCTGCACACACACACACACACACACACACAAACACACACACACAGAAAAGTAAAAAAGATCTAGGCATAACGTGTGCACCTGTAGTTCCAACTACTGGGGAGGCTGAGGCAGGAGGATCGCTAGAGGGCTGGAATTCGAGACTAGCCCGAGCAACATAGCAAGACACCCCACCCCCATTGCCGCCCGGGAAAAAAAGAGAGTTTAAAAAAAAGAGTAAAAAGAAATGTAAAAATAATTTTAACAAATCATTTTATTTAACCCAATACATTGAAAATGTTATCTAACAGGCATGCAATATACAAATTACTAACATTTTATACAAAGTCTTTGGAATCCTGTATTTTACACGTAAAGCACATCTCACTCCGGCCTAGCCAGGTTCCAAGCACGTGACAGCCGCACAAGGCCGGAACCCCGGCCAGGGGAATTAATCCTTCTCGCTCAAGCACGCTTCCCTTCAAGGCCGGCCTAATCCCCTCTCTCTCTCATTCGCTCGAATACGCTCCGCGGTTATGCCTCTCACCTCACTGCACTGCAAGTATTTCGCCCACGCAGCATCTACTGACCCCCACTCAGCGCCGGGTAATCCTCCCGCTGCTGGGCTGGGAACGGTGTGTCTGGCTTCATTCCGTTCTGGGCCGGCTCGGGACGCGCTCAAGAGAAACCGGAATCAGACACAGGCCTGGCTCAACTTTGGAAAAGATGAGCTCGAGGCTCCGGTGGCTTCTGGTAGTCCGCTGCCGGCAGCAGGGCACCGAGGTCGGGCTGAGCGAGCCGGAAGCCACCGACTCAACCAAACACTGGAACGCAACCACCTCCTCTTCGTCCGCGATGCCTGTGACGTGACGCGCGCGCCGCGCGGCGTCGCCCTTTAATGCCGTCAGGCGTTCGGCGCTCTGCGTCACACGCCACCTGGGACTTAGGCGGGACTTCCGGGCGAGTGTAGGCACAACTTCCGGAAGGAGGCGGAAGAGTCTCTCGGCTCTACGCTTTGGAGTCCCGGGACCAGTAAGGGGGTCACCGGGGGCACAGGAAAGGGCCGCTAGGGGAGAGCCGACCGCACTCGGAGTGTCTGGGCCGCGGGTCTGAGGGATGAGGAGGGGCCATGGCCAGCGACGGGGCCAGGAAGCAGTTCTGGAAGCGCAGCAACACCAAGCTCCCGGGCAGGTGGGTGTGACGGGGAGGGCTAGGTCGGGGTCAGGGGTCAGAGGTCAGCTGGCCGCGTTGGCCTCCTGGGCTGCGGGTGGAGTCGGGGGTCTGGAGAGGGCAACTTGGACTCTGAGCAGAGCGCTGCGTGGTGTGACGGGCGCTGGGGGACTCGGAGGTCTGAGCGTGGGGTCTGGGGGTGACAGTGGCTGCACGTAGGAGCGAGGCTTGCAAGGACGCGGAGGAGCTGTCAGCATTTTTCCTGACACTGGCAGGCTCCTTTCCGAGAAACTCCTGGGCTCCCTGGGGAGGCTGGAAGGAACTGATTCGGGTCGTGCTGTGAAGTTTGGTGGAGTCCGGAAGCTGGCCGGGCCGAGGCCGTGTCTGCTGGGGAGATCAGTTTCTGCAGGGGGCGCGGTGCTTTTGACCCACTTGATTTGCCTCTGGTCTCTTGTGGGCTGCTGCTCTTGCCTTGAGCGTGGGAGAGTTTCCCTGTGAGTTTCCATGTTTCTGCTTGTTGGTTTCAAAACCGACTTTCATACTGTGTTAGCAAGAATCATTTTTTGTTTTTTAAAATGAAGTGCCTGGAATGACCTGGGTACACTCTAGATGCTTACAGCTCGAAGGCTCCAGAGTTCTTGTCTGATTGCCATGGACCTAAGCTCTGGCCAGGGCCTAGGGAATGAGACATTACGTGAAGAGTACCTAGGATAAAATTAGCCACTGGTGAAAACAGATCAGAGATAAGCGAACGTCAAGATTTCAAAACATAGTTTGTTCTGTTTCAAAGCTGAAGTCTGGGATACTGAAAATTATGTATCGTGATATTAAAATAAGTCTGAGTAGAGTCATTCATAAACACAGTGAAATGGTTTGTACTCCTATTTCATAATAAATACTACTGTTTGAATGATAAACTTTGCAATTTACTGCATCTAGTTAGAAAAGTTTACTTTTGGCCCGGTGTAGTAGCTCATGCCTATAATTCCAGTACCTTGGGAGGCTGAGGTTGGGAGTTTGAGACCAGCCTGACCAACATGGAAAAACCTGACCAACATGGAGAAACTGAGCCTCCACTAAAAATACAAAATTAGCTGGGTGTGGTGGCACATGCCTGTAATCCCAGCTACTTGGGGGGCTGAGGCAGGAGAATCGCTTGAATCCAGGTGGTGGAGGTTGTGGTGAGCCGAGATCATGCCATTGCACTCCAGCCCGGACAACAAGAGCGAAACGCAGTCTCAAAAAAAAAAAAAAAGTTTACTTTTAAGAGTGATCTGGGAGTTAGCAGAGTGAGTTACTGACTGCTGAGACAGTGACTTTGAGAATGAAGGGAGTCATCAAAGGTGGCCAGAGACCCTATTTGACTCCACTGGACTGTGGAGTTTCGAGAACAATAAGAGGTTTCAACAAAACCAGTGTCAGGGTCCAAGATGAGTGAAGATTCTGGAATGGTGGTAGACAGGAGGTCCTGGTAGTGACAGGAACAAATGCTGTCAAACATAGAGTCCAGGGAAGAGGAGCCACCTGACGGTGTAACTTTTAAAATGTGTTACTTTTAGGTCTTGAGGTTTCGGTTCCCCATCAATCTAAACTCTAATTCTTAATCAACTGAGATATAAGAATAACAGAGCTGCTGTGTGGAGTTACAACAGCGACTCAACCTTTGGATTGAAGGCTGTGGCTCTTGGTAATTTGTCCTTACATTGAACTGAATAGTGTGTGCCCCCTCTGCTGCCTCCTGCCACCAAATTTATGTCCATCTGGAACCCCTTGGATGTGACATTTGAAAATAGGGTGTTTGCACAAGGAATCGAGGTAAAATGAGGTCATCCGGGATGAGGCTGGGCCTTAAAGACTAGTATTTTTATAAGAAGGGGGAAATTTGGACACAGACACAGGGAAATGGGCCTGTGGAGACAGAAACGGAGATTGGAATAGTGCATTCACAAGCCAATGCACGCTGGGGATTGCTGGCAGCCACCAGATGCTAGAAGAGGCAAGGAAGGGTGCTCGCCTGGAGACTTCACAGAGCACGGCCCTGCTGACCACCACTTGATTTGGGGCTTCTGGCCTTTAAAACTGAGGGAGAATGAAAGTGTGTTGTTTTAAGCCATTCAGCCTGTGGTAATTTGTTACGGCAGCCACAGGAGACTAGTACAGTCTCTAACTTTCTTCTGTGTGAACCTGAATTACCAAAGACAGACTGCTTTTCCTCTGACTTTGATGCTGTTCTGTGTCTTAGGCACTTCCGAGCGCAGTTTCCATTGCACCTTTGTGCAGCTGGAGTCTTGGAGAGTTGTTCCTCGCTGTCGCTGAGGAGGGTAGGGGGAGGAGGAGAAGTTGGGTGCGTCAGGAAGGCCTGTGAAGCCTCTGTGTCCCCTGTCCATCCCATGGCTCAAGTCCCTGGCAGTGCTGCTGTTTCAGGTGGCAGGCTGGAACTCTTCCCTGAAGGAGGAGTCGCAAATGGATGCCCGTTTTCCTAACAGTAGCGGTATCTACTAGCTGCGTATCTTTTTAATCTTCACCTGCGCAAGCGCAGTGCTGGCGGAGATCCTGGCCAGGTTCCTGTGGTTTTGCCAGCTCTTTCAGTTGTTTACCATGGTTGTTTTCCTGTTTTTTTATTTTTTGTTTTTTTATTGAGACAGAGCCTCACACTCACCCAGGCTGGAGTGCAGTGGTGTGATCTTGGTTCACTGCAATCTCTGCCTCCCGTGTTCAAGCAATTCTTCTGCCTCAGCCTCCCAAGTGGCTGTTACAGGAGCCCACTGCCACATCCGGGTAATTTTTTTTTATATTTTTAGTAGAGACAGGATTTCACCATGTTGGCCAGGCTGGTCTCGAACTGCTGACTGGTCTCCCTGGTATGTGCTTGTTTTCATCAGTGAGATCCACAAGTTTAAGAAATGTGTCTTTCTCGTTCTTGCATTGTCAGTACGGCTAAATGGTGTTTATTCCAAACTATCTTCCAGATTATCCTGGAGAGTGAGTGTTTTGGCCAGGGTCACACGCTGCAGGAGAGGTGGTCTTGCCAGTGACCCCGGTTCATGCACACCCTGGTCCTCAGGTTGTGTATTTGGCTGATGCTTTCCTAGAAATTTTGTTTCCGGATGAGTCAGGATGTGTGGTCTGGTAGATGGACCTCTGACTAGGAGTTGGGTGGTCTAGATTTTAGCCTTCTTTTTCCAGTAGTGGTCTTTACCAAGTTACCTCTGGGGCCATTAGTTTCTGTGTCTGTAGCACAAAGGGGTTGCATGTGGTTTAGGTAGCTATGGCAAATGGGGAGATTTCTTTGGCTTAGCACCATTCTCTTTGATGAGAAAAGGATGGGCTTCTTGGACCAGTGTTGAGAGTTTGATGATTTGCTGATCCAGCAAATAAGTATTCAACCCATAGCATGTGTCAGGAACGGCCCCAGGTGCTGGAGATGATCTTAATGAACAAAATCGGCCCAGGGTTGCTCTCCTGGACCTTACAGTGCGGGGGAGAGCAGGGTATAAATGAAATAGTCAAATGGAGTTCACTGTTGGGAGCCGACAGCCGCTATCAAAACAGTGCTGGGAAGAGGGCTAGGTGGCTTCGGGGCAGGTGTGGTGGTGAGAAGGAGCTCTTTGCTGAGGTGACATTTGAGGAAAGATTTGCAGGTGAGGGAACAGGCCCACCAGGAGGCTGGGAAGTGCGGTCCTGGCAGAGGGGTGAGCAGGTACAGGGGCACGAGAGCCCCAGAGCAGTGCTGGCGTGCTTGAGGGGAGGAGCTTCGGCCAGCGTGGGTCTAGCCGAGAGAAGCGGACAGTCACGGGGTGCGTCATGAAGGGTGCTGGGGGAAGGCCTCATGACCACGGTGAAGACATGGACTGTTTTTCCGGCAGAATGGGGCACCTTTGGAGGGCTTCGAGCACAGGAGTGGCATGGTCTCCATTAGGTTTAGTGGGATATCTTTGGCTGTTGTACGGAGACAGATTGGTGGTGTCGGGAGTCCCGGCAAGGGCAGAAACAGGGAAATCAAGAGGCCAGGCTGCCGCAGCATCCACGTGAGCAGTGGTGGTGGCAAGAAACAGTAGGTAGGTGATAAGACTCCGAAGATTTGGCCTGGTTTAGTGGCTCATGCTTGTAATCCCAGCACTTTGGGAAGCTGAGGCAGGTGGATCGCTTGAGGTCAGCAGTTCGAGACCAGCCTGGTCAACACAGTGAAACTCCATCTCTACTAAAAATACAAAAGTTAGCTTTGCGTGGTGGCAGGTGCCTGTCATCCTAGCTACTTGGGAGGCTGAGGCAGGAGAACTGCTTGAAGACAGGAGGTGGAGGTTGCAGTGAGCCGAGATTGCGCCGCCGCACTGCAGCCTGGAAAACAGAGTGAGACTCCGTCTCATACACACAGAAAATGGAATCTGAAGATTCCGTCTGACTGTCTGGGCTGCTGTATCCTGGGCCGCTGACTCTCTTGGCTCCTGAAGGGCTGTTGCTTTCCGCAGTTGCAGTTGGAATTCTTGCCACACTTCACTTCCAATGCCAAGACAAAATCCCAGCACACTGGGCTTGAGAACACAGGCTGTCTTTCAGTGTGGGTCTGATGTTTGCTATTTTAGCTCAGCTCTGCCTGGCAGGGTATGTTCTGCTGACAGAGGGTATGCAGGCAGCTGGGGTGTGTGAAGTATGATATTTGAAAGTGGCATGATGGCGGCTGGGCGCAGTGACTGACGCCTGTAATCCCAGCAGTTTGGCAGGCCGAGGCAGGGGGATCACCTGAGGTCAGCAGTTTGAGACCAGCCTGGTCAACATGGTGAAACCCCGTCTCTACTAAGAATACAAAAGATAGGCCGGGTGCAGTGGCTCACACTTGTAATCCCAGCACTTTGGGAGGCCGAGGCAGGCGGATCACAAGGTCAAGAGATCGAGACCATCTTGGCCAACATGGTGAAACCCCATCTCTACTAAAAATACAAAAATCAGCTGGGCATGGTGGCGTGTGCTTGTAGTCACAGCTCGGGAGGCTGAGGCAGGAGAATTACTTGAACCTGGGAGGC